AACAAACATTTTTAAATTATATTATAGAAACAGATTATAATAAATTATTATTAGCTTTTTCTTTAATACAAACAATGCGATATAAAAAAAGTCAAAATAATAGTAAACTTTTTTAAAATATTTACAACAAAAAACAGCAGATTATATAGAAAATTCATTATATCAAGCAGATTATGACATTAATAAATGCAGTACTACAATAAAATCTTTAAAAAAGTTGCAACAATTTATTCTAATCAACAAATTAATATAATTGAAAATTCTAAATTTTCAGCTTATAAAATAATGGCTGATGAATCTAAACAAGGTGATAGTAAAATTTTTTTAATATGTTTTATTTATTGGAATTCAAATACAAGTTTTCTACAAGCAACTTTATTAGAAATAAAAGATTTATTAAATTGTAGTGGATCTACTATTGCTAATCTAGTTGTTGAAACTTGTAATACTTATAAAATAAATTATAAAAAATGTTTTACTTGGATAACTGACAATACTGCCTATATGTCAGATTATAAAGGTGGTGCTGTTACATTATTTAATAATAAAACATCATCAAATTTATTTTGAATATCATGCGGTATGCATTCAGCACATCTTATAATAACTCATTTTGAAAATTCTGCATTTGGTAAATTAAATGTTAATACTGGATATTCTACTCAAAAATATTTATTTAATTTACTTCATTTAATTTGGCAACTTCATAATGGATATGATGAGAACAAAAAAAAAAATCCAATGAGTATGAAAGCTTCTTATATATCAAATATGTATAAAGAACTTCTTGAATTACAATATACCAAATTTCAAAAACCTCTTAGACAGCGCTGGTTATATGAATTACATACAGCATAACAATTAGTTGAAAGGCAAGAATCAATAGAAATATTTACAAAATGGTTTATAGAAAAGCTTAAAGTTTTTAAAAATCCACCTAAACAATATATTTCAAATGAAAATTATTAGATAGTTGGCTTAAAGATCCTTTGCTTAAAATACAAATAGAATGTTTAGTAAAATTTGGAGAAGCAATATATGAACCAATAATGAATTTTCTAGCAGGTTTTGATCCAACTCCTAGAATATTAGAAAAAGATAATACATTAACAACACTTCTTCCAGAAAGAAGAGCTCATGAAATGCCAGATGCTATTATGCAATGGATAGAAGATATAACAAATATTATAAATAATATTTATTCATTTTTTAAAGATGAGCTTTTAAATAGAATAAAT